GAGTTCAATCTAAGTGAAAATGTTTCGCTAGCAAATGTGAAGGTTATCACCTCACGAGAGCGTAGCTACTTCACTTCCTCTTAAAAGGGATAGAGCCCGAGTCTAGAGCTCATGCATGAATATGCAAAGTGTGTGCAAAATAATACCATAAACTCAAAATTAAAATAAAATAACAACATACAATTTATCTTATTCATTAACATATATATTTTTGAAGAATCAAAATAAAAGAGATTAAATGAAATGTCAAATAAAACCAATTAAATCCAACAATTCTTAATAGTGTACAATTAAAAGTTTTGGCTTAACTCTCGAATTCAGTCTTTTATCTCCAGTAGAGTCGTTAAGCTGTCGTAACGATTTTGAAAACGTCAGACGTAAGTAAGTTTTAAAATCAAAATAAATGAGGGGAGTCGCTACCAATCTTTGTTAGGGTATGATTGGCCACCCAAAAGTTTATTTTTTTAATAAAACTATAAAAATGAGTTTAAAGTTTATCAAAAAGATAAATTTTTATCTATGAAAAATCAAGTTGGATCCAGGAGTCGGTTACGTGTGGGAAAGGATTAACACCCCCACAACATCCATAAATTGGTACCATTTAATTACGTGCTATTTTCGGTGTTGGATAAAAATGGTTTTAATTTGAAATTTAACACTAATTCCCTTTATTTGGAAAAATAAAATTTTGCTAAAATTTTTATTTAGAAATATTGAGAAAATATTTAAGTTAAAGAATTATCTTAAAATTTTTCAACATCTAGGCAGAATTTAAAATAACTCTTTTCGCTTAAGATTTAACACAATAATTCTTAAAATGAAATAACAATCTTTATAGAAAATAATTGTTAATGACTCTCCAACATCTAGGCAGAGTACCAAGAATTATTTCTTTCGAAATGTTATTTTTATTTTATTTTATAATATCACAAAATTTTTTTTTAAAAAGTATTATTCTTTTTTTATTATAAAATATTTTATTATTAAATAGTAAATTAAAGAGAGAATAATGCAGACAATTATCGATGATAACATGCTAACATATGTATGCTAATGAATGTCATGTAAAATGAAATGCGATTTAAAAGTTAGGTTCTTAAGTATAATGAGACTACCCCGACTCTTCAATATTTAGATAGAGCTTAGGTGCGACTGTTTAGATTAATAAATAAAAAGTATAAATAAATATTTATCATGCATAAATATAAAAACTTAAAATAACAAAAATAATAATATAAAAAAAATTAAAAAAATTAAAAAAATTTTTTTTTACCTAAATTGGACTAGTCAACGGTCTGGTCAACGTGGTTTGGGCCGATCTGACCGGTTCGACTGTTCAATCAGCGGTTTGGGCGATCCAATGGTTCAGACTGGTTCACTAGCAGTTCGTTTGAACCGGTTCAAGGCTGACTGAAGTGGGTAGTTGAATCGGATTATACGGATCTCAGGTTGGGTTCGGTCCACGAATGGATCCTTTGCGCTTGAAACGTCATCGTTTTAGTCCTATGCTCAAAACGACGTCGTTTTGCCCCTATGTTTTCTATAAAAATCAGATTTTTTTCTCAGTTCATTTTACCATTTCGCAAAAAAAAAATTCAGTGCTTTGGGTTTTCTCTAGCTCCACCGAAATTCGACGCCATGCGCTACGCTTGCCGTCATACGAGTCACCGTCGACTGTGGTTGTCGGTGATCGAAAAGGTGTTAGGAAGTCACCTGAAATTTCTCTCGACGCCCTCTTTTCAGATCTGGCTCTTTTTCACTTGAAACAGCCCCGATTGTAGTAGATCGAGCTTGAAGTTTTTTGCCTTTTTTTTTCTTGAGACTAAAATTGATATGTTTTCTTTGTTTTTGCAGGGAGCTCGACGCTGAGGTTCTTCCCTACGGAGATGACTGTTTGTCTTTATTTTTTTGTTTCTGTTTTTGTGTTTCTGTTTGGGTATGGGTTTGGTAAGGGTTGAGGCTCAGATTGGGGTGCTAGTATGGAGACTGAGCTTGTTGAAAGAGGGGCTAGGCAATGATGAAGGGTAAGCTCTTCGTGTGTCCGAGAGAGAGGTTGAAGGGGAAGAGGTTGGGGGTTTTAAAGAGCTTCAAATAGGGGGATAGATGGTGGTCGTAGGTGTGGTAAGGTGACTGTTTGGCATGGTGGCTAGACAGAGGGCTGATCAGGGGTTGGACAGGGGCGACAACGGTGCTATACCAGCCTTATGGTTTCTGTCTCATTTTTTGTTTTTCTTTTTTTAAAAAATTATTATATATGTATTTTTAAATATATTATTATTATTATTATTATTATTATTATTATTATTATTATTATTGAAAATATTAATATTAACCTGAAATGAGAATAATAGACCCGAACAAAATTGATGTCTACATACAATATTGTCACAATAAATTAGTTCCTCAAATTGGGCTTTTTGAACTGTTTTGCACTTCCAAACAAAATCAAGTAAAAACAAACCTATCTTATTATGATTTATATATTTCGAGGAAGGGTCTGTTTTGAACTCGCTTTTAAGCAGAGAATATATGCATACTTATCATTTTGAATCACACACTTAAGGTAATTTATGTATTTGAATTATATAAAATATTAAAAGATATATATTTGTATCATATTTTATACGAAAATTACATATCATAATTCATATTAATACGAAAATATGAAATATATTTTTTAATTTTGTTAAATTTATATAAAGTTATTGTTAAAATTTTAAATCGTGTTACCTTTATTTTTTTTAATTGTATTTGAATCATATCACCTTATCATATTTTACATTAGAAGGCTTACTCATATAACTTACTATAATTTTTTAGTTATAAACAAAATTAGTACCATAGTAATTATATGTATAGTACTAAATTAACACTTAATTATACATATTATGTATATGATGAGAAATAATTAGATATATTATGAATAAAATTTTTTAATTTTACAAATGAAATTAATAAAATAATATATATTTTATTTTTTTAATTAAAATTTTTAAATATATATTAAAGAGTATATATTATCCCGTTAACTCCGTCCGTGAAATTAAAAATTTTATTGATAGTGTCTTTGATAGGTTCTTATAGTTTCTCAATTAACATATATTAAAAACAATCAAGAAGTGGTTTCTGCTTTTTGTCAATGACAGTTGATCAAAATTTACTAAGAAAGAAAAGAAGTCACCAAGCCTACTATCAATTTCTAGGAAGTAGCCTAACACATCCAAGAAAATTGAAAATTAGCCAAAGTTAATGTACTTGCAAATCCTTCATGGTTGTTCTTGAACTGTCATCAATTTGCAAATGATGCCAAGGTTCACTGCAACACAACTCTCTAACCCCAATCCCCATCTCTTGGACATAGGAAATTAATATTAAAAAATATCAATGAAAAATGTACCAATGTAATATTTAATATTTTAATCATAGGACCAATTAATAAAACCAAGTTAAATCCTTCATGGGTTGGTCTTGAACTGTCACACATGTGGCAGGTGTCATAGCTCCTTCAAATGTTAAAATATTTATTAAAACCCTAGTCAAACAATTGTGTGGTTAACTTGAAGATTAATTCAGTTCGTTGATATAATACATTTGAATTTAAATTTTAGTATATATATTTTTTATTTCATATTTACATATTAACATAAATATGATATAATATTTTTTATATTTTATATACATGAATTTAATATAAAATAAATATTTTTTATAAAAAAATTACATGATTAATTATTCTATATAATTTAAAATAATAAATTTAAATAATCCCACAGGCAGACAAATAAATAAAAAGATTAATTAACCGACTATTTTCAGTAGTGAACTAAAAAAATAATAAGTGTAATGATTAGCGAAGAAGAAATAGTATTATATATGGTTTAAGATACAACTATAGCGAAAACTAGATAAAAATATATAATAATTAAGAGCCAAACCGATGAGACAGTTCAATATTAGCTAATTAAAACAGTTAAGATTCTGAGCGCACTTTGCTTGGGATTAGAGATGACAGCCAACATACATAAATTAAACTTATGTCTAGTGGGATTCTTCTTATTTGCATGAAAAGAAATCGATTTGCCATGGAATCTTGGAATCTATCCTAAATAATTTTTGGATATATAGAACAAATCTTTAAATAAATAAATAAATGAATATATATATGTTATTTTAGTGTGAGAATTGAGTATGTATGTTATATATATTTTTAAGGGTTTTTGTCAAAATTATTGTCTAATAAAATATCAAGGGATTAAAGGCAAATTTGTCATCATATTTTATTTCAATATTTAAAATTTATCACTCTACTTTTGTTTGAATAAATTTTAATTTTTTTAATTGAATTTTGGCACAATTTTAATTTTAAGAGACAAAATTTCAGTTTTGAGTCTTATCTATGGACCCATTGTGAGTATTAATCTTTAAAATACAATCATTATATGACATTTTTTTTAATTTAAAAAAAATGAATAATTTATTTAACTCAAAATTTAAAAACCAAAATAAAAAAAAATTAATGCATTATATATGACAATGTTTATAGATAAACATCTATTTAAGTATAACGACTATTTTTGCTATAGATAAAATTTTTCATAAAATTTAATAGAAACCAACTAATTGCTCATTAATCTTGAATTTTTTTTCCTAAACAATTGAGATATGTAAAATATAGCATAGTTTGGCCAAAAAAAAGTATAGCATAAGGTTTTTTTTTTTTTTTTTTTTTATAGAACTTATCAAATACACAAAACTGATTTGAAGTGAAGCTATATCTATTCATAGAATTTTGTAAAATGTGATGAAATGAAGCTAGCTACTATCATTTAAAGATCAAACCTTATGATTGAGACTTAGAAAAAAAAATAATAAAAGAAAAAGAGAGAAGAGAATTGATGTGGACTTGTCGTTCAATTCAATGGACTTGAAGCTCAAAAGCACCACCTTACGATTAATACCCTTCCCGTCAATGTCAAAATTGTAAAATAAATAAAAATACCCCAAAATTTCCATATTCATGCACCCAAAATCCCTATAAATAACTCTCAATTCCCGAACTGAAAAGCCAAAGCAGATTGAAAGAGGGAGAGTAAGTGAAGTGAGAAACAAAAAAAAAAAAATGCCTTCCTCTCCTTTGATTCTTGTCTCAAAATCAACAGTTTTCCCAGACCAGAAATCAAATTTAGGAGACCTGAAGCTTTCAGTTTCAGATCTCCCAATGTTGTCTTGCCATTACATCCAAAAAGGTTGTCTCTTCACTCGCCCTCCCATTCCAATCGACTCACTCGTTTCCCTGCTCAAACAATCCCTCTCCAAAACGCTGTCGTTTTTCCCTCCCCTCGCAGGTCGTCTTTACACCGACCAAAACGGTTACATTTACATAACTTGCAATGACGCTGGGGTTGAGTTCCACCATTCGAAATGCGCCACGTGGTTCATCCGCGACGTCATTGGTCCGATTCATGTCCCGGAGTTTGTTAGAGAGTTTTTCTCCTTTGACAAAACGGTTAGTTATCAGGGCCATCACAAGCCAATCATGGCCGTGCAAGTCACCGAGCTGGCTGATGGAGTTTTCATCGGATGTTCCGTTAACCATGCGGTGACTGACGGCACGTCGTTTTGGAATTTCTTCAACACTCTTGCTGAAATTTGCAGAAAAATTACTAATAGTAAAATTCAAAGCATTGAAAAAATCGCAAGGCAACCAGATTTTTCGCGGGACTCGGTTTTGATTTCATCGGCGATTTTAAGAGTCCCAGAAGGTGGGCCCAAAGTTACGTTCAATGAAAACGAGCCATTACGGGAGAGAATCTTCAGTTTCAGCCGAGAAGCCATTCTAGAACTGAAAGCCAAAGTTAACAAGAAGGAGGAGGAGCTTCTTATCAACGGAGTCTTTAACGCCGTTGAAATTCTCGGGAAGCAAAGTAACGACAAGTACTATATTGAAAACGGCACAAACTTAACAGGGATTTTTGAAAAATGGTTGTTCAAAACAACCGCAGTTTCAAATACGGTGGAGATTTCGTCGTTTCAATCACTTTGCGCTCTTATCTGGCGAGCCGTGACACGTGCGAGGAAGCTTCCGTCATCCAAAACGACCACGTTTAGAATGGCTGTGAATTGCCGTCACAGGCTGAACCCGAAGCTAGACCCTTTATATTTCGGGAACGCGATTCAAAGCATTCCAACGTGTGCGTCAGCAGGGGACGTCACGTCACGTGACATACGCTGGTGCGCCGAGCAATTAAACAAAAGCGTGAAAGCTCATAACGACGAAACGGTGCGTCGTTTTATTCATAACTGGGAGAAGGATCCGCGGTGTTTTCCGTTGGGGAACTTCGACGGCGCGTCGATGACTATGGGGAGTTCTCCGAGATTTCCAATGTACGATAATGATTTCGGGTGGGGTCGACCGTTGGCTGTTAGGAGTGGTGCGGCCAATAAATTTGATGGGAAGATCTCCGCTTTTCCTGGACGGGAAGGGAATGGGAGCGTTGATTTGGAGGTGGTTTTGGCGCCAGAAACAATGGCCTTGATTGAGTCTGATCGCGAGTTCATGCAATATGTAATGAATTAAATAATGGGGGATTTCATCGGAATAGATGTATTTTCATATTATCACGTGTTTTATTTTTGGCCGTTGGATGATACTTGCTAAAAATGGGGGTCCAGGATTTTGGGATGGGGGTGATATGTAACGGCCGTGATGTTGTAGGGAGTCAAGGATGTTTCGTCTATTAGGGACACACTAATTATTATTAAAATAAATAATCATCTTTTCACTTTTTTCTTTTTTTTAGGCATTTTTTTAGTTGTTTTGTATGATTATTAGCCTATCCATGCACGCTCACACTCACTATGTGAGTGAAATATATAAAAACTTTGATAAATAAAATAATAGAAAAATATTATATAGTTATTTTGAAATGTAAAAGAGAAAAAAATAATTACACATATTAGTTTTTAAAATAAAGAAAAAAAGGTAAAAATATATGTTCATTTTCTAATTTGATTTTTATGTATTTATTTAAATTAAATTAATATCACTTAACTTGGAATACTATTTCAATAAAAATTATATATTATAAATTTTCATAATACTAAAGCTTTAAATATATGTTTTATGCAATTGAATGTTTAATTAAGCGATCGAAAACTATGTTGTCAGTCCAAGTAAGTTTTTTATTTGAGAAATTAAGCGGAGATTTGAATGCAATTCTTTGAGTAAAGGATATATGCATTTACCATTAAATTCAAACACTAAGCTAATGGGATGCTTATTGCTCCATATGTTGGTTAGTTGTTAATTAGGAGATTATCTCCACTGAATTTGATCACTTTGACACCTTTATTAATTTCGAAAGTTAATTGCTAATCTACTATGAATTAAGTTGACTTTCCAACTCAAGATCCATTTTATTGAGTTTCATTCACCTAATCATATGAAGAAAATATTATTGGATTACATGATTATTGATTGATAAAAGGAGAATAGGCAAATATGTATACATTCTCCTATTCAAAGTACATCAAATAAACAAACAAATGAGAATTATCATATATTTGAATAAATTTAATATAAAATTAAATCAAATTTTTATACAATTATGTTAAGATCCCTTGCACATCTATTTCGAACATAGTTTTAATACTAGATATTAAGATCACGACAATTCTAATTTTAGTTGTTAGGTAGAAGAACCTTAATCGACTTAAGTAATCAAACTAATGAAAACATAATTAAATAATCAATCAATTACATAAGAAATAGTAGTTTAATTTGATTTAATTATATTCACGAATGATAAAAAAATTTCACTAATTATAAAAAATTACAAATATATAATCATATACTTACAATCAATACATATAAACTTTTTCCTTCTTCTCTAATCTTAAAGTTATTATTAACTCAAACAAATACATACATATGTAAGTTACCATATTTATGTGAACGATCTCGTTTTCACTTAAACATATACACTCATAAGGAATGTTTCAATCTCTTCAATCTTATTGGATATCAATTCTATAAAATTTACAATTTTTTTTTATTTTTTTTCGTACTTAATTCTATAAAGATTTTATTATTTATAAGCATATAAATTTATTTATGAAAATTTTTTTCTTTTAGAATTCTCTTTTTGCAAATTTTCTTGTTTGTTAATATTATAATATTTAAGTCACTATTTCAACAAAATAAACTTTGCCTAGGTTTAGATTTTATCATATCTTTAGTGCGGTGTGAGTAAACTCACCACACTGCTAGTTGAATCTAAATGCTAATTTTAGTAAATTTATTCAACATAAATTTTTTATTAAAATTTTCTTCAATCATAACAATAGTAATTTTTTTTAATCACAACTATAATAACTTTTATTAGTATTTTTAATTTTATCAAATTAATCTCATCTTTCATCCAAATGAAGCCTTAACCTTGAAACTTCATATTTTCAGAACTTTCTCTGATTTGCTATTAAATGATCAAGAACTTATTATTTCTAAGAAAAAGACCTTATTGGCTAAAGATTATCGTTAGCTTGGCTATTTACACCTAAAAAGTATCTTTTTTGTGTAACAAATTTGACTCTCCCTCCCGACCGACCTTATTTGGCTCTTCTGGAAGCAAAAGCAAAGCTGGTGATGTGGTAGCCTAACCACATCAATGTCTCAAAGGCTGGCAATTAATATCCGGATGATTTAGTGACCGAATTCGACCACGTTCACTCCACTTTGATTTGTTTAATTGCGGCGAATGCGACTAAAAGATTATCAGTACTTCACCTATGTACCTCTGGACGGTTAGATTGACTTACCCTAACTTTTGTAATTTAGCACTGGAATTCTTAATTGGAACCTAACTCCAAACTTGTCTTTCTTTTGTAATTTGTCTGTTGACAATTGGACAAAATTTGGTTCCATTTTCAGAATCTTCTTCTCTAAAAAGTCGGCTTAGTTCATTGATCAATTCAATTGTAGCCATATATTTGTAATTTGTCTGTTCACAATTGGGCACACTTTGGCTTCCCTCTTCAGAATCTTCTTCTCTAAAAAGTCGGCTTAGTTCGTTGATCAATTCAATTGTAGCTATATATATATATATATATATATAAATTCAACAAAGAAAAATATGATTATTTTTTTTAGACATAACTATTTATATTTTTATATCATATGAAATATTAAAATTTATATATTAATATCTTATTTTATACAAAAATTGTATTTCATAATTTGTACCGATATGAAAAGATTAAATATATATTTTTTGTTTTATTAAATTTATGTATAATTATTGTTAAAATTTTAAGTTGTATCACTTTCATATTATATTTTTATATCATATTCGTGTTGTGTCACTATATAATATTATAGATTGCTAAATGTAATTTTTTTTTAATAAAGAAACTGCAGTCTGAAAATTAAAAAAAAATTGTAAGTATTAAAATTTAAATATCAAATATGTTAGATATATTTTTTAAAGATAATTACATAAACTAACATAATTAAGCTTATGATTTCAATTTCATTGTAATTTTGGTGGTTCTCATTTCTTTCTTTCCTTTTTTTTTTTTTAATATTTTAAATTATTTTGTATTCACGAACTTTAATTTAAAACACAATTTTATCATTATCTAGTGTTTTATTTGCGTTGAGAATTGCCGACATATGTATTTTATACAAAACATTTTGTCATCAAACTTGTCGAAACCTTTATGGACGGCAAATTTTTTTAATTTAACCGCGTGGAAAATAAATTTTTTTACCAACAAAAGATTTAAAAAAAGAAAAACGACAAACAAAAAGACAAAAATCAATCCAAAATACTTAATTAAATAAATAATATGTTGAATATTGCAGGGATGAGTAGGGATGAGTTTGGTGGCCGGCCTATCAAAGCAGCAATAGTTCAAAGAACGTCGAGTGGGAATCATGCAAAAAGACGAGTTCAATGAACAAAAACAATTACAACAGCCCTTAATCATTAAAAACGTTTTTGGTTGTCAAACATTTGACTTGTGCACTTCTTGTCTTCTTGTAACAAGTGAGAAAAGGTGTCAGTATCAGATAAGCAGTAGGTGCCACGAACAAAAGGCTCAATTGTGTTGTTTGATAAAAGGTACATTGCCCCCTTATTTTCTCCTTCATTGCACAAATACATTAGTTAATTAAGATGATATGAATTCATCAACCACGCGTCTTACCAAATGAGTTCCATAAGCATTTTGAAACCTAAATGACTCAAGTCGATGTGACATCTAATATAATAACTAATATAATAATGAAAAAAATATTGCGTTTGATCACATTATAAATGAAAATTAATTGTACAATGAAGAGATAAGAAGTGTTATTGCCCGATTATTTCGTCAACCATCAACGTGATTAAAGTTTTATCAACACACTTAAATTTTAAGATTGCCCAGATAAAGTATGTATGGATCGTCATGTCATTTGTACCAAGGCAATGAGTTCAAAAAAATACTCAGCTCAACATCCCACTGACATCTCAAAGGCATTACTTCAGAATTAAATACTTCGATTCATTGTCTAAGACCACTAAATGAAGCTCATGCATGTCTAAGATTATTTATGTGAAATTTTTTTGAGCTTCATATATACATTAAATTAACTATCAATTGTCTCAATCTATCGTTTATAATTTCATATATAAGATAAAGAAAAGCTCAAGCATGTAAGAGAGAACACCCTTCATCCTTAAACACTTTTCTTCCGTTGAAGCTTCTTACATACACTTTTACCTTCATCATCATTTTTTAAAAAATTATTTTATTAATTTGAACGTCAAAGCACACCCAAAAAAACAACTTCGATACCCCCTTATTATATTTTCTAGCCGTAAGTTTCAGACCACGCAACCCTCAACAACCTCACACCAAAACATCCAAAACATCGTCAACAAAAAGCATTATTATGATATTTTCTTACAGGATTAATTCCAGGCAGCAGATTCCTGAATGTAACCAAATTCTCTTCACTTGCGTGTCGTGGTTGTTCTTGAACTGTCCTGCCTTGCTGAAGATTGCAGATGCATATCCCAAGGTGCACTGCAATACTTACTTCATCATGTCCTAAACAATCATCAAATAATAATAATAAAATAATAAAAATCTTATAATAAGTAGCAATCTAAACAATAATAAATCATGGAATTCTTCATGGTCGGTATATATTGAACTGTCATTCAGGTGGCAAATTTTCTCTCTTTGGACATGCACCAAAGTTCCTACCAATCTTAAATCGGTATTAAACTCTAATTAAGTCAAAACATTATTAATTTTTACCACTCTCTTGTGGACGGACTGTGGGCATTGTTAGCCTGCTGTAAACTGATCCATCTTATTGGGCATCTACCAATTGGGCTACAACATTTGGACTCAAGTGGACATAGAAAAATATGGGCCTCGCAGCCCGAGATAAAGTTAATTTTGTCTCCTACTATGGGTTTGTGGGCAGATATTGGGCTTATTCGGCCTGAGATTAATTGGATTGGATTGGATATACATACAGCAAGGTTTATATATCACTGAGTATAATTCCTAACCCATTTTAGTTCTAAGTAAATAAAATTAAATAATGTAAAATTACCTAGACTTTCAAAATTTATAAAGATGTTTAGGACATGAAACTTTTATTAGTTCAAAGTGTTTTATTAAAAATAATGCCATAACAAAACTTCATAAACTTAATTAACTAATAGACTTTATTTTAGTTTTTTTTTTTTTCATATTAAGACACTTGTTGAACTTTGGTTTATATAATCTTTTCATAAACTAATGCATCTGATTAATTAACAAAAGGATGTAGCCAGCTAAGAAAAGTTTTGTGCAATATATGAAGACTAGAAAATACCAAGCATTGGATTTTATTCAGTAGGTGGTGTATTAGTATATGTACCATTTTCAAAGAATAGAATTCGAATTTCTTGTGTCAAAGTCAAAGAGAACATAGAATATATTAAAAAGAGAATTAATTAATAATATTTGGCAAAGGAAACACACACACACACATATATATATATATATATATTTGTATTTATATATATAATCTTAATGCTCTAAACAAAACCAAGCAGCATGGTTTTCTTGATCATTGGTATATATTTATACATGAAATTCAAAGACTGGAAGCAGACCCAAGGCAGAATCTATTGTTATACCATACATTTTTATGCACTTCAAGGAAAGACATTTTTCATGAGAGGAAGCAAATCCCAAATTCCAAGCAATTAATTTCATTGAAAACCAAATCCAACGTAGTAAACATGCAGAGAAAAAAACTAAATTTTTTTATGAGCATGTAGAAGAGGAACACCGAAGCATTGCTTTTCAATATTAAAAAAAGTTATTTTCTACCCTATTTTCATCATGGCTAAACCTAAAATTCTACAACAATAACAAGAAGAAGGGCTTTGGTGGTTTGATTTTTCACAAGAAACTTAAACGAAGATCCAATGGTGGATGATCCAGTTCTGAGGTACTGATTGTATAAGGAAATGTTGATGTTTCCCTACATTCGTTTCCATGGAATCTCAGCTTCTCCTGCTGATCAGTTTCTTCAAAGGAATTTAAAGGGAAAAGCTGTAAAGTCTCAATAACCCTTTGATCAGACTGATATTCCTTAACCTCAAAAAAACCTGTAAGAATCAAACAAAAAGACAAATTTTCATCAAACTAATGAAAATTGAGAATAAAAAAAGAAACCCCAAAAAGACAGAAACCTACGTTTTGAAGAAGAAATCTTGTTGTTGATGTTGTTGTTGTTGTTGTTGTCTCTGGAAATGAAGTGATCATTTTCATCAAAGGAGACTTTTCGACGCTTTTGTCTTTCCCTAGCTTTATGATTCTGAAACCAATAAAAAACATTCTTGCTTTCGATCTTCCCATAAAAGCTAAGCTGAGTTGAAATCTTCTGGATTTGATCAGTGCTTGGTGTTCGAAGTCCTGACCTGAACAAGTCTGTTAAAACCTTAACCTGTTCAGTCGTAGGATTCCATCTCCCACACTTTGTTCCACTACTTCCATTGTTGCCATTGCCACGACCGTGACTTCCCTTGATACAAAAACTTGAAAACCCTTCCTCCATTTCCAAATCCTCTCAAAACCCGGAAGTTTCTTTGATTTTTTTCCCTTTTTTTTTTTTCACTTCTGAATCTGAACTGAAAAGACAGGAGTTAGTGTTATATATATATATATATAAGAACAAAAAGAGATGTGAACCCAATGTAAATTAAGTGAACTTTTTTGTAGTTATCTTTTGTTTTTATTGATTAGTGATCAAAGCAAAGTAGAATCAACCCTTTGTTTATTTGTTTATTTATTATATAAGTTTGCTTTGATTTTAGGGTTCATAAGATTGATTTTATGAAGGGTTTGATTTGATCATCTGGTTTTTTGTGCAAAGAGAGAGACATGCGTAAAAGCTGCCACTGTTCAACGTTTTGGTCGGCGAGCAGACAAGAAGTAAGATTCACAAAATTTATTGATTAATATTTTAGTATATATAAGATAATGAAAAAATATTTCATCATGTTTATGGATTTTTAAATTTTATCGTACATAAATTTTTTAATACTACAAAATGTTGAGTTAATTTAAAAAACGTTTGATTTCTTTTGATTTGGTCTCTGTAGAAGAAGGGTTTTGTGTTTTTCAGTAAAGTGTGCTCTTTCTACTGTATAAATATATGGCTTATTATTTATTTTATTGTGTTTGTGATCTACTATACTAGTATCAAAAAGGATGATAAATGTGGAGCAAATCACATTCCGAATCTCCTCAATCTCTCCAGTCACTAAATGCATTGGATGAAGAATTTCATAACTTAAACAATGCTATGGAAGGATAGACTGTGCATATTTCAATCTAAGATAAGCCAGAACAGACAACCGACACAAAAGGACAAAACTCTATTCGACGCCAATGACTAGCAGACAAAAAACACTATAGCAGAAGATAAGACGTTACTGTAGTAGTCACTGTAGCAGAAAAAGACAGAGACCTACTACGGAAGATACTATAGCAAGTCACTGTAGCGGTACTATAGATAAAAATTCTACTGTATATTGTAACGGGCACTGTACAGAGAATTTTATGATACTCTTGGATGTAGAATACACTACATTCAGAATCAGGTAACAGAATACTGCCTCAAGCAAAAAGCTACAAAGCAGGTAAAATTCAAACTTTCGTATAAACAATGTACAAAGATTTTGGAAAATGAATTTGAATTTGGTTGTAATAAACAATCTTTTTAAAAAAATCTCGTTTTAAGAAAAATAAAAACATTTTTGGAAAAAGTGGAAACCCACAAATTTCAAACCTAAAAAAGGTAAATTTGTTGTTAAAAAAGAAAAAAATCTTGTCACTGTAGCGGTACTATAGATAAAAATTCTACTGTATATTGTAACGGGCACTGTACAGAGAATTTTATGATACTCTTGGATGTAGAATACACTACATTCAGAATCAGGTAACAGAATACTGCCTCAAGCAAAAAGCTACAAAGCAGGTAAAATTCAAACTTTCGTATAAACAATGTACAAAGATTTTGGAAAATGAATTTGAATTTGGTTGTAATAAACAATCTTTTTCAAAGAAATCTCGTTTTAAGAAAAAATAAAAACATTTTTGGAAAAAGTGGAAACCCACAAATTTCAAACCTAAAAAAGGTAAGTTTGTTGTTAAAAAGAAGAAAAAATCTTCTAAAAACAACTGTAAATATTTTTTTTGTGATCAAGAAAGTCATTATGCAAATACTTGTCCTAACAAAGGAAAAAGTGGGAAAAAATGATAAAAAAACTTGATGAAAGTTTTCTTCAAATTTGTTTTGCTGATGAATTATTTGACGAAGAAATTTATTATGAAATTTTTCCAAAAACTGATTATAGTTCTTCTGAAGATGAATCGGATTTTATTTTTATGCTGAATACTGAATCTAACCAAGATAATGTTTCAGTAACCTCTTCTACAGGTATAACAACTACCAATGAAGATAATATGATTAAACTAAAAAATATTATGAGAAAAATTCATTTTATTTCAGATGAAAAAAATAAAAGAATTACAACTCATCAAACCAGATAAGATTTACAAGACAAGTTGGTTTAAAAAGTTTCAACCTTGGTCTAAACGTCATATAGAAAAACTATCTGGTGACACAGTTGCTAACGATTCTAAACAAGGATCGATAGAAATTCCTCTTTTTACTAAAAAAAAAATAAGCAATTTTCTTTCTAAATATCCAAAGGTCAAATACATCCATATAGGAATGATTTTGATCACCATTAAACCACTATTTTCATCCACAAAGGATATTCCCATAATAGCTGTTTTAATGGATAATAGGTTTTTAAACCCTGCCGACGCTATAATTGGTGGAATCCAATCCAATTTAGCAATGGGAGTAGTTTTATTTAAAGTTAAACCAAACTATTTTATTTCTATTTTTGATGAAAACATTGAAAAATGTTTATGCCTTCGAATCAAAATAACCAATTTTACATTCGAATCTACATCACATGATCTTTCAATCAACTGGTCAACGGTTTATGAATTTATCAATACTACTAATACCTCTATCAAACCGATAGATTCTAATATTATTGAAAATTTTAAACCAAATACTTTTGATTCAGAAATTAAACCTAAGTTAGTTAATCTCGTAAACTTATCAATCCCAAAAGGATGGTGTCTCAAAGATCTTTCAAATACTTCTGAAAAACAGAAAGTACCAAGTTTAGAATTTTTCTCATTAAAAAAAATCTTTACTTTAACAATCCAAATGAATCAACCAGTTTTAATCCAAACCTGGTTTTACCACCCCTAAATGTTTTTGAACATCAACCAGATGATGATATTGAGAGTATAACTAGTAACCAATCTTTTTGTACTCTTTATCGAAGTTTTTTTTTAAGATTTCATAGTACAAACAGTACAGAAACCCTCAGACGAGCGAATAGTATGTGCCAATCAGGTAATACTGATATTGCTCAAATTTTTTTTTTGCAAGAAATAATTCATCTCAGCAAGGTACAGTTGATAATCAAACCCATTATCATTCTGTTAATTCTGTGATTAATTCACACACTTCTTCTTCTAGAAAAACTAGAACTGAAGATATTAAAATGTTTCATTCTATAAATAATTTTTTTATTTCTAACACTTACCCTCAAGAAATAATATCATTTGCCAACAAGGTAAGATATTATACTTATATTGAAGGTTATTTTTATTTTCAAAACTATAAACCCTATAGTTTAAATATTTTGATTGACACGGGAGCAACAATCTCTAGCTGTCGACCTAATGCTTTGCCATCAACAAAATGGTAACCCATGAAGCATCCTATAATAATAGTAGGTATCGATGGTAAAGAAACCATTGTTAGCCTAAAGGCAAAGAATATACATGTTGCCTTAAATGATAAAAAATTCATTATACCTAAAATATTATGCTTTCCTAATATGCATGGAGACATTCTGTTAGGACATAATTTTATACATAGGTATTTACCGTTTTTTGTTTATTTTGATTATCTTGTTTTTACTATTGATAAAAAATCGATAGATGTTCCTTTATTATCCAAGCATAAACATGTTTGCGATAATGGTTTTCACCCAGAAATAACACATATTTCTGAACTTAAAGTTATTAATGAAAAACATTGGCTTTATAGAATTTTGCAGAAAAACTTCAGTGAAAACCCATTGAAGCTTTGGGAACGCAGTCCCAGATACTGTAAACTTACTTTTCATTCTCCAAAAGAGATTGTTCGAGTAAAACCCACGATCTATACGAAACAGGATATAGATGAATTTGAAGTTCAAATTTCAGAATTGCTTGACAAAGGTCTGAGAGAATCAACTACCAGCCCTTATTCTAGTCCAGCATTCATGGTAAAAACTCATTCTGAGATTAAATGAGGTAAACCCCGTATGGTTATTAATTACAAGAAATTAAACCAAAATCTTGTTTTTGATGGCTATTTTATCCCTCGTAAAGACGTTTTAATTAATTTAGCAAAAACTGCTAAATATTTTTTTAAATTTGATTGTAAGTCAGGTTTTTGGCAAATCATGCTAAATGAAACCTCTAAACCCCTTATTGCTTTTAGTGCACCAGTAGGCAATTACCAATGGATTGTTATGCCTTTCGGTCTATGCAACGCACCTCAAATCTTTCAACGTTGGATGGACAATATTTTCAGCAAACATAAATAATTTTGATGTGTATATATTGATGATATTTTAATATTTTCTAATACTTTGGATGAGCACAGGAAACACCTGAATATTATTGCTCAAGAATTTATTTTACACGGTATTATTTTAAATCCCAAAAAGGTTGAACTTGAAAAAATTGAAATAAAATTTCTTGGTCTTAATCTTTCTGCAAATGGACTAACCCTGCAGGATCACATTATCTTCAAGATCAGAGACTTTCCAGAAGAACTGGATAATGTCAAACAGCTACAGCAGTTGTTAGGTATACTTAATTATGGCAGATAATTTTTCAAAAATCTTTTCAAAAAGAAAAGCTATCTTTTACGTAAATTGCGTAAAGATAATGATTTTGTCTGGACACCTAATGATTCTGATATTATTAAACAAATAAAATCAGATCTAACCACTATACCTAAGGTCTATTTATCTAAACAAGGTGACCTACTTATTTTAGAGACAGATGCCAGTGATGAACATTGGAGATGTGTCTTAAAAGCTAAAAATTTACATCAAAAAGATGAATTGATTTGTGACTATAATTTCGATAAGTTCAAATCGAACGAAATAAATTATATTATTTTTGAAAAAGAATTACTAGCCATAAAAAATGGTGTACAGTGATTCCACATCTATTTAGCCCAAGAGTCTTTGTTATCCGAATAGATAACCAAACAGTCAAAAACTTTTTCCAAAATAGAAAGCTTTCTGATAATCTTAGGTGAATTAGGTGGTACAATTTTCTTTGTTCTTATCATTTTCAGGTAGAGTTCATCAACGGAGATAAAAACCTTATTGCAAACTTCTTGAGTAGACCACATGGATCGAGGAAAACACCCAATCCATGATACAGGTGGATAAAAAA